GTCGAAACTTTGAAGGAAATGTTATTGATTTCATTGTGCAGATTCATGAAGCCCTACCAGAATGTTGGTATAATGAGATCCCAGCCACGAAGTTCGAAGAGGCGATGGCTGTACAGTGCTTGATATCCGGTATCCGTAACGAACAGGCTTGTGAAAAGCTTTTGTCGGAAGATGAGACAACGATGTGCTGGGAGAAGGCCTGCAATATTCTTCGGCAGCTGGAGACTGTCCATAAACAGTTAGCAGCTTTTCGCCCGCAATTTCATACAGACAGTCCAAGCAATGGACCGAAAATGTGTCACCTCGAGACGGTCCGAATTGCGTTTTACCTGTTACCGATGTGAAAATCAGTATTTATCTGCCGAGGAATGTCATCATAAACATTATCTGCCACTAATGTAGAAAATTAGGGCACGGCCCGAGTTTGCCGATCTAAAGCTGGCACAGCTGCGATACCACGTTTTCCCAAGAAGCTAGTGAAGATCGTCCAGTCTTCAGACGAAGATGACCAGGTAAACACGATTTGTAACGCAACGTCGAGCATCTGTAGCATTCACCCACTCTACATTGTGCAATTGGAAATAGAAAGCCATTTGGTTAAGATGGAAGTCGATGCCGGTCCTTCAGTTACCATAATTAGTGCTCTATGAGTTAAAAGTTTACCCAAGTTATCCACCTGGGAATCAACATTTCGGGCGTACACCGAGAAGCCGATACCAGTGCTGGGAAAATGCACTGTTCATGTTACTTATCCTAGGGGGAAGCGGATCTTACAGGCATATGTTGTGGTGAATTATTGTCCAAACTTATTCGGGCACGACTGGATTAAATGCCTTCCAGTTACGTAAAGACAGTGAAGTTTATGACCATTAACCAGCTCTTGGAGGATGTGCTGACTGGGGAAATTGAACGGACATCAGGCTAGTATCAAGTTACGGCCGCGAACTCAGCCCCGCTTTTTCAGGACACGTACCCTACCTTATTCCTTGAGATCAAAGATAGAAGATGTGATAAAGAGATTGCAATCAACAGGAACAATCTAGCCAGTCCAATACAGTGAGTGGGGAGTTCCGATAGTTCCACTCCTGAAACCCGATGGTTCTGTATGTGTTTGTGGTGACTATAAACTAACTGTTAATCGTCGTTTAATTCTGGCTAAGTATCCCTTACCTCGGATAGAGGATCCGTAAGCTACGCTGGCAGGCGGACAAAAGTTCACGCCGATCGACCTCAGTCATGCGTACTTACAAATTGAGTTAGATGAGACCTCTCGCTCATGCACTGCGATACGTACCCACATAGGTCTGTCCTTCGGAATCAGTTCAGCCCCCGCTGATATTTCAAAGGATTATTGACAACCTGATCAAATATATTCCTTTCACTTGCGGCTATCTTGACGACATTCTAAGTACAGGACGTACAGATGCTGAACATTCACAGACGCTATCCACTGTGCTCGAACGTCTACATCTGAATGAACTCATTGAGGAGGTCGAAGAGTACGTTTTTCTCAAACTCTGTTCGTTACCTGGGTTACCGTCTTTGCAATAACGGATGACGTGTTAAAAGACAAAGTAAAGCCCATCCTTGTCGCATCTTGACCCAAGAATGAAGCTTAACTCCGATCATTTTAGGGATGTTTTTTCACTATCATCGCCTCTTACCTAACTCCTCAACAGTATTCGCACGCTTGTACGAACTGTTGCACAAGGAGAGGTCTTGGACTTAGGGTCCGGATCAAAGAAAGGCCACCACAGATGCGAAAGGTGCTCAGCACCTCCCCGTACCTCATGCATTTTGATCCGAGCCGGTCTCTAGTGCTGCAGTGTGATACTTCCCCACGCGGAGTGGGCGCAGTCCTTTGCCACCGGACAGATAACGGTTCTCTTCGTCCAATCGCTTTTGCTTCTCGCACACTGCAACCCGCTGAAAGAAATTACTCCCAAATGGACAGAGGGGCCTTTGTAATTATTTTCGGAGTCAAGCATTTCCACCGGTACGTCTGGGAAAGACAGTTTGATATCCACACTGACCGTAAACCACTTCTTTCGTTTCTAAGTGTGGAGAAACGAATGCAATGGATGTCTGCAAAGATGGGCGCTACTCTTGAGGGCCTATAACTACAAACTTCAGTATGTAAACAGACCAATTAATACCATTGCCGATGCACTTAGTCACCTCCCGCAGCAGCATGGCGCAGAAATGAACAATGAACACATTTAGTTTATCAGTTTGATGCAAGACATTAAAAAGACACCCGTCCGGAGTGACGGTGCAGCTTTTGACGGACCATGATTCTGTGTTGTCGATGGTGAAACGGTTCTTGATGACTCGATGGCCTATAAGCACGTCAGACGAACTGAAACCATTCGTCTGTCGGAGTAATGAGTTCAGTCTATACGACGGCTGTACATTTCGGGGCTCGCGCATAGTTCCACCAGACGAACTACGGCCCCAGTTGTTGAGGAAGCTGGGTGACGCACACCATGGCGTGAATAGGATGAACGCGCTGGCACTTGGTTACTGTTGGTGGTCGAACATTGGTCAGGATATAGTGCGGCTGCTAAAAATTGCAAACAATGTCAGAAATACCAAAGGCAAAAATCTTTAGGACTGATACGTCCATGGCGTTAGCTGGAGAGGCCCTGGCAGCGGGTACACGTGGACTACTTTGGCCCGATAAATGGGATGATGTATCTACTTTCGATTGATGCTTATTCTAAATGAATACAAGTACATCCAGTTCCATATACGACTTCCGCAGCAATAGTTGCAAGAATGCGCTCTGTATTCGCCATCTTCGGTATCCCAGAGATGGTATGAACCGACAATCGAACACTACTTATCGGTGAAGATTTTCAACCGTTCCTGAGTAACAACAGAATACAGCACATCAAGTCTGCACCGTACCACCCCGCGTCGAATGGAATGGCAGAACGTGCAGTCCAGACTGTTAAGTAAGGTCTCCTCAAGCAGACTCATGGAACTCTACAAACTAAGTTGGATTGTCTCCTGTTCATTTACCGCACGACACCGGTTGAGTCGAAAGGAAAGTCATCCGCGGAGATGATGTCTGGTCGGCCACTACGAACGAAAATAGAGAATGAGGGCAAAGCAGAAGGAGATTTATGGGGATGACGATATGCCAGAGGAAATGTGTCTCAATACTTTTGATCCGGTATACACAAGACTGTCTCACGAAGCAAGCTGGCAACCTGCTACACTCATGTCATCAACGAGCAACCAAGCGGAGCTACATCAGGGGGACGGCCGTGCGGTGCGTCGTCATTTTAACCATATCCGGCCACGCTCAGTCGGACCACATGAGCGGGATCAAAAGTCGAGCACTACTGACGCAAGAATGGACAGAGAATCTGCTTCACAAAACCAGGAACCGCAAACGGATGCGGACCAACCTCAATTATGACACTCAAAACGCACGCCTAAGCCAGTTGATCGGTATCAACCCGGAGTCTGCAGCCTCTACCAGGGGAAAGAGGGGTGTCACGTATGCATTTGAGTATTGATTCGTGAATACAGGCGCTCACATGATAAGTTGGCAATGACCTTGCCTTACCTTCCTTTTTTCATTGGTTTTTGTTTCGGTATTTCTAGCCACTGTAGCGTAGGAACCTTGGATTAAACGGTTCCACACTAGGCCTGCACGTTCTGTTCCATCTGTCGGCTAAGGGCCATACTTAACAGTGTGATTTGGGGATGGATACTATCTTCGTGTTCTGCACACACATTGCGGCCGCGCTGATGAGTCCTTTCATTTACTCATTGAACATTGTAGGCTTTCATCGTGCTTTGTTTTGATTCCGTTCTCGCCTTTTTGACGCAGAATTGTTCTACTTCTTCCCTTCTATGACTGGCTTACATCCCATGTTCACCTTATATAGGAACTTAACTCTTTTCCATCTTCAATTGTCCTTATCACTTTCCATATTACTGACCTACGCACAAATAATGATGCATCGATGATTGCATTCTCTCTGCTGATTTCACAATCTCATGAACCTTCGTGAATTTCATTTTATTCGTTCTCCCTTCGTTGTTGTGCATTATAATGCGAATGGTCGATATTTATATTAAAATGCAGCCTTTATTTACTCATTGGCATTCTTGTCACTGCTTACGTTATTTTTTTGACTGTATTTGATTTCATCACCTATTTTCACCTTATTTATGATACTTTTTGTTTGCTTTTCCTCGTTGAGGATAAATCCTCCAGGAACACACTGCCAGTATAGCCGGAACATGAAGAACCACTTCTATTTCGGTCGATTATGACAGTACCAAGGAAAAATGAAGCTAGCAATTCCTTTTGGTGTTCCCGATCTACCGATCATAGAAGCAAACTTTTGAAGTTACCTTCTGTTATGTGCACTTTATCAACTGCGACCGACGCACATTACCCATTTTAGCTCTCCCGAGCATTTGGTATGTTCATTCAAATTCCTTTTTGGCCAATCATGTATGCAGTAGTTAGACCTCATCAAAAATACTGCATCGTAAGGTATCAAGAAATATACAATAATCAATCAACTACATATCATGTTGTTCTATCTTATCCACAATTTTGCGACCTCGAGGAGGAAATTGCAACAATCGATTAATGTTTTCTATAAGATGAACTTTGAATCTCTTCGGCTGTTTTTCAAACCTACTCGGAGTAGCTCAAGTTCGACGAACACGTGCTATCCCTCCGCCGTAGTGCGATGTATGTGGAAAGCTCCGCTCGAGGCCAGAAATGACAATGTGAGCTCTGTCTTAATGTTGCGTCTCCGTTCAGAATCATGGTACCTCCACGTCGTCAAGCAACAGGAAGTTGTTGTCGAAAGTTTAGGGTGGACAATAAGTCGGATTCCTCACATTATTCATCGTTTAGTTTGCGTTTTTGCTCTGCAGACGACTGTATACTGACGAGGTAGCTCGCTGTAAACAGATTCGGGAAAACGGATAAATTCAGCGAGATATGCTTTTGTTGCGGAATCGCGCAATCCCGTTACCTAAAAGGCACCTATGGGAAGTCGCCAGACGTGGTACGCAGTTTTCGAAGCTGGTAGCGGGAAGTGCGCAAAAACATACAATAGGGTTGACCCAAACAAACGTGGCCAATGTTCCAAGAGGCAAATTGTCTCATTCGCCTAGGTACATTACTAACGGTGTACTTTTAGAATACTTTACACAACATGCTGAAGTCAGGCGGGAAAATACCCAGGTTACTACAATAGCGCAAGTGCGCGTTGCTTGAACCGACTATCCGGTTTGTAGTTCTCTTCGTCAATGCTCTCGATGAGGACTAACAGTGCTACAAGGCACTTCGAGTATTGCTGGTTTGATCGCATCAGCCCCACTCGCTTTCGTAAGATGTGTCAGTCGTTTATCCAGAGGTATGTCATTTATTGTTGCTATACCTGAGTGACTGGAGTGTCTGAGGGATTTGTCGATGACATGGCAGAGAAATCTAAATTGGGTCGTGTTGCCTTGCGCTGTACTCCTCGATCAGAGCATCGAGATCAATCACATTGGTTTCCTTTCCGATTGGATGTGACCAGGAAGTCAGCAACACTATTCTACGTAGTGCCTTGCCTTCTAGTCACCAATCATTTCACCCACTACTTCAATCCTTTCTAACTTCACTTCGCTTGATCTTACTTCCCTTTTTTTACCCTTATTAATATTTGCTATCACTACGACTAGGATCAAAATTAACTGCGTCCGGCTCAGTATGGTGCTTCAGTTATAGTTGTTTAACTGCAGCAGGGCCTCCTTCACCTCACTGCTTTTCATGCTCGTTGGGTAGAACAGTATTCTCCTCAGGGCTTAACGCATATACATGTGATCGAATTATTACCACTCGTCCGGGTGTAAATGTTTGCTCACTACGCTCATCACCACTGCCCCTCCGTGCATTTTTTCACTTCCATTCTTCGCAAGAACTACCTGAAAAGGTTTAAGGTCTCCGTATTGGAAATACTGTCACACTGCAACAGAGCAGAATGTTCTCCACTGTTACTCTGTATGCGCGATACCTTGTTTTCCATCCAACGACCATGTGGGGGCGTAATCTGGTTATCTTGCCGTTTCTCACTTTTCCCACCAGTTGCTATGCCTTGGATTTGCAGTTTGCTTTAAACCCTACCTTAGTTATCCGATCTGATTAGTTGTTTTTAATTCCTGAACCGCGAGGTGTTTTACCTGTGAACACTACTGTTAATTCTATCCATTTATTCTCATAATCTTACAAGTGGGTTAGGGGGATGAAGGGCCCCAAAATTGCACGCAAACCATACCTTTGTGTGTAAAAGTAAGGGAGTTGCAGTCGTTTACTGACTGTAAGGATCTGGTAACCAAATTTCGTCTTTGGTTGAGAGAATTGAATGTTTCAGAGGCGCTGATATGCTGACTGGATACCGTTCTGCCTTTGGTACTGTGGAAGAGTTCACAGCAATTCTGGGACGGATTTAGGGCCAGTCAGTTAGTTCGCTTTGCATTTGTTCTATCAGTAATTTAGGGAGCAAAGGAGTGCAACTCCACGCTGGATCCAGTGCTTCTGTTCCTTGTCTGACGGGATGTCGATGGCGAACACAAAGTTTGTGGAATGACCAGTGGTTGACAGTACACCTGAAATGTGAGAAAATGTGAGCATATACTTTGATGACTTATGCACTTTCTGAGCTGCCTACAGGCCCTGCTGCTGCGTTCTTTTCGTGGCGTGGGTTCTAACTGCTTCCGCTAGAGTGCAGTGTGCATTCAATCACGTTGTTATTTAGTCGCACGACCCACAAGTTCATAAGCACATGCAAATGCATTTCATCTGGTTGAAACTGTAGCCTCCAATCTGGTTCCAGTAGCCTTACCATCTCCCCAGCTTCTATGTATCATTGCGTTGCGAACTCGGCGTCGTTCCCGCTCTGAAGTTGTTCTCCATATTCACGATATTTTTGCAAGTTGTTTACTACCCTGTTCTACTAGTGAGCATATATAACACTAATGTTAGCTTGGTCGGTGGCCGAGTGGTTCGGACGTCTGGATTTGAATCCAAAGATTGCTGGTTTGCGACTGCCTATGTTGGGTGATCTCCAAATCTACGTAACGCACGTGCAACCGCCAGTAGTGGCATGGCAGCAAAGCATATATATATATATATATATATATATATATATATATATATATATATATATATATATATATATATATATATATATATATATATATATATATATATATATATATATATATATCGTCAACACCGAGGATTTCAGTAGGTCGTACCGATGATTTGCTGCCACGACACTACTGGCGGTTGCACGTGCGTTATATAGTGTATCGACAGTTTGAGAAGCAGATATAAAGCCGAACTAAACCATTGTAGTCGCTACATCATCATGATTACACATTAGTTGACGGTGGCCAACAACTTCAGCTATTGTGCCGCAAGAAGGACGGAACATTTTTCGCCCTAAGGTGGAATGGAGTCAGCGATTAAGTTCTCTTGATCACACCGTGTTTGATTGCACCAGTTACCACAAAACTGTAATAAGCACGGCAAATCGAATCGTTCTAACCGGTGGGATGGTCCATACCGCCGAACCCCAGTGAGATTCTGCCCATACTCGAGACCGCTCTGCCTGAGGCGGAGCAACTCGCAATGCTCTTATAGGAACTGCTTGAATCGACTGAAGTGTTAAAAGGGTCTGGAAGCCCTCTACTTACCGGCTCTTGTCAATGTCTTGTAGACTGGGCATTCATAAACTCCCTTCGCTGGAGGCTTACGATTCGCCACCGGGAGCAACCAGATAACGGGCATGTTCGCATACAACTCCTTGGGTCTGGATTCTCCCAGAACTCGGCGTTTGTAATCCCAACGAGCACCTTCGAGGAACAAGCCGCGAATATAGCTGCCATCTGCTGGGACTTCTGTCAGTTCGGCATCTTCGTCCATCACCTAGAGAGGGATGAATTAGACAAGCATTATCGGCTACAAAGAAGTTGTCGGTATCGTTCGCTCTCAAAACAACCTCGACTATTATGAATAGCTGCAGCAGGGTCCCTCTTCCTTTCCTAACAGATTTATTCTAAGCTGTCGTTGAGTCCTCATCACGGCTCTGAATTTTGTTAATGTTCAACAACACATAAATAATCCCATCTTAGCTGGCATTTACGTCGTCCAACTGTCCCATTTAATATCCCCATTCTACTTAGGTCTATTAGACTTGACGACATTTCACGTTACTCGAAGATGTCTGCACTTACAAATCATTAGACTCATATTGTCGCATTGTAGGATGTGCAATTTACCCGAAAATCAAACGAAATTGTGTCCACGGAAATGAGCATTTTGCGAGCATAATTTTGCAATATTCCAGTCAGGAACGCTTGAGGGAAGTAGAGGCCACTTATCCAGAATACCGATGGGATGCCGTTGTCGATCCAGTGTTGTATGAACTGTACCCGCATAATGAGATCTTCTATCCAAGTGGCCAGCGGTTTGAGGCTTGGATACGCCTTGTTTGCCCACACGGTCGGCACTCGGTTGTTGAACAATGAGCCGGCCATTTCTTCCAGACTGGCAGACATGACAACCAAACCTTTGAGAGCTTTCATCAAGTCATTCAATGTTGCATGAATGGTGTCCAATAGGTTGTTGTATCTAAAATGGGGAATAAAAAGAACCGCGTTATGCTCGCAATCTCTGTGCACCCTTGGTACTTTGAGCAGCGATACCATCTGTACTTATTTATGACTTCATCTTCTTCGAAAACAACAATAATGGCATAAAGTCACTTATTCATGTGACTGTCTAGTCCTCTGTTCGTAAGCTGGATGCAGTCGGGGGGGGGTGTATTTGGAATCAACGTAGCGGATTGACCAATAGATCAATTCAGCAATCAGCCAATGCGTGTGTTCTTGAAGCAGCATACCAGGCGTGAACCTTTGGATTTGAAAACAACTGCCTTTCACTTTCACAAAGACCACTATTAGCAATTGTCCCCACCAGAGTGAGAGCGTAGTGTAGTTGCACGGCCCCCCAATACACCCCAACCTTCTTATAGTCTTGGATGATGATGATGAATCTACATCCACACTTCTAGTAGATATCGCACGCAGCCATTACGTTGCCCATTTACCTAGGTTTAGACAGATGCCGCGAGGTGACAGTAACGGGTTTAGGGTCCATATCAATGGATTATGGGGCCATCGAGACGGCCATCGCGGACGCTTTTCCATTGTAACACTGTTACCGTCGATCGTGTTTGGGGCTCCCTCATTGATGCCCTTTATTTACTTGTACACAAGATTCGAACCACTACTCATAGTCATCAAAGTAACCACCATCGTCTTATCACTATCATTGTAATCTCAATTCTAACACTACCGACTCGCTGCCCTAGTCTGCACCCGTTTTATGCTTCCGGTGACCTGAATGAAATGGTTGGTCAGGCCTCCATGGATATTGGGGTTTTCACTAACCATAAATGTGAATTGCATTACCCGGCCCTCGAGATGACGATGTGGGCTGCTCACACGGCCATTGGTGGTTCAGTTCAGTGCAAGTGCTCAATTATGATCCGTGCGTCGAATTGTGGTAAATCCAGCAGCCTCTACTCACCTCAACAGAGTGTAATTAAAACCATTAGACAGAATAGTTCGGAGTCGGAAATAAGGAAAAAGCCGTAAGAACGGCAACAACTTCATGGCCGAAGTATATTCATCAGGCTGATTAGCCACCAATGAAGGCGTGCCTAAAACCCCCCTACTCAGCATCTGTAATTTACTTCATGCTGTCTTGCCATGTCGTTGACTAATCACTTCAAGGTTTCACCTTACTGGGCACAATTTTGATAGACCATAGACTCCGGGGCAGCCGGTTTGCAGATATGCGGACACAAGACAGTCAGCATGGACAGTTCGAACTCAATGGATGCACCAAATGTGCACCCGAGGTTCCGTTGACAGACGAACATTATCTAACATTATCTAGCACTTCATAGGCATCGATAGTGAAACACGGTTGATCTCTTGGTGTTCATGATGCGTATTGTCCAGATCTCCAGTCACACAGCAGTGCTGTAAACCTCTAACCAAAATGCCCACATTCCACCGTCTCCATAGGTCAACAGAACCTCAAAGTCACACGTGCCTTGGCAATGCATGCAGTAACCTCTATGGTGTGACCACTAGATAAGTGAACCGATCGATTAATTTGAGCAGTTGTTCGGTGGTACTGTGAACTTCTGATGCGTCAGTCCAGTTTTTCGACATTAGCTTTTACATTGAAGATGTAGGGTGTACACGGACACGTGTGTCGCTTTCCGTCATCCATAATACGTAGGTGCTTTCAAGACAGCTTGACGCGGTACAGTGGGAGATTTTGCGTCCACTTATGCTAAGCTTAATAGCCGGTCATCTAGCGGAAGATCCATCTTAGGAGAAACAAGGGAAATCAAACAGCCATTCAGCATCAGTCCGACCAGGAGATTGTGTAGCAAATCGAGGTTAGAACACCCTCCTGTGGCGTGATCAGGGAGTGAATACCTGTGGATGTCTATACAAACCCTGTGGTAGCTGTGTAAATGTTATGAGATCAATGAAGATTTCTCCAAAATACCTTTCAATGCTAAGCGCCGCCACATATATATCCGATCAACCGTATCCAAGGTTTCAAGCCGTGGGATGCCGCCGTGATGGGTTGTTTACGATTGTAATGGCAGAACCTAAGAATCTAGCCTGATTTTCACCAATTCAACTCTTGCGATGATCAGCGTAAGCCGCTGCGGTATGCTATCAGTAAGTAATCTGTAGGCAGTGAATACAAATATAATCTCACAACGGAATCCACAGGAACTCCTGTCGAACAGAATCGACAGTGCAGTTATTTGTGAGTCACCACTTTCTTTCGACAACTGCGGAAAATGGGCATCGGGGCCAGGCATCGCGCACCGCTGTAGCAGAACCAACTCGCATTAGGCTTCATCGATTGTGAGTTGAAGTTGTTCATGAACTTCGACTAATTATTCATGCCGACCTGACTGGGAGTTAGTCAATGGTCCATTTGTCCAATCAGTGTCAAATACACACTCCTTTTCGGGCTCGGGCGATGAATGAGTTGGAGAAACATTCTATTGTTCCCGATACCGCTGACCTCCATTTCACGGATCTGCGGTATACAACAACGCCTCTGGTCAGCTTCGACTTCTAAGCAGATGAAGTTTGAGTGTTGCAGATTGGTAGCAACTGATGTTCCGACGGGATTATCGCACATGGTTCAATTAGTATAATCCATAAGTAAAACATCTATATCTCATGGTAGACGGACGGGAAGCGTAAAATGTACTTCGTTTAGTACACTGGATGTGGTTCTAATCCGACTTCGGTTCTTTTATCCCGCATTCCAGTGACCGCTGATGCTGAAATTCCTGCTTTGCTTGTTGCCAAAGCAGTTGACATGCAAACGCCCTCCACCGAAGCTGTGAGAGTATGCTACACTGGGGCACATGAAGACACGGCGTGAATCGAAATAAGTGCGTCGAATGGACCGACATTATTGCCTTGAATTGCGCAGTCTGGCCTCTAAAGCGACAAAGCGGCGCTTTGCCTTCCGTCGTTACTTAGCGAGTTCGGCGCAGCTCCGGAGTAGTATCGCAGACATGCGGATGTCCAGCGGGATCCATTACAAAATAACCTCCACACGTCCGCTAGGATCGACTCAGACGCCGTGAATGTTATGGGTTTCGAGCCACTGGAGACGGTCTGGCAAGCTCAGACGCGTAAAGATGCTGTTTACCGACTGAGTGTGCGTTCGTAGCGAGTATCACCCATTGGCCAATCTCATCGAGTACTCGGGCGTTGAGGTATCCAGTGTGTATTCTAGTTCGGAATGTGTATTGCCTTCTTCATAAGTGCGACTGGTGAAGTCAGTAGTAGTCTCTTAAACGTCAACACAAAACGTAGGGAAGCAGGTAAAAAGAAACATATTACTGGCGACTGTCTTCTTGGAACTTTAACTGAACTGACTGATACCTTCCGGATTTTTGTTCGCATCGTCAGAGATCGCTTCAGTGCTTCAGATTTGGTTCTAGCCATTTCATCTGGTGAATGAAGACAGCATTATAACCCTAGGGGGAATCTACACATGCCGTTCACCTGAGCCTCAATAGGGCGATGGTCGCCCTGGTCTTCGAAGATCTCCACAAGTAGCAAAGACCATGAGTCAAGCTGTCAACGCCATCCATTAACCTCGCTAACAGCCGATATGCTTACTACGTTTGTTACACCCTCTGTTAAGGTTCAGTACCTTGAGCGGATCTTTTCTAATGGCTTAATCTGCCAATCCAGTTAATGCAACTTACGGACGGCCGAGCAGTGCTATTAGTGATTCATATAAGTGATAGACGTGTGTATGCTCAGCTTGCAGACTGTTGACTGTAGTCAATGGGTTGGATGCAACAATCGGTCTGGCAGTTGCAAGAACCAACCGGGAAGTGAATAAACCAAATTTTGGCCCTCGGAACACACCATCTACGTTTGTTAAGCCATATTTAATCATATGCACACATTTTTCATGTAGATGACTGCTCGTTCACCAGGAACATCCGTTCTTGCCGTTTACATTTACTGGAGTGCACTTTGTCGCTCCTGGATGCACTTTCGTCGTCTTTTTGTATACCGCTTTCACATCAAATTAGACGTTTCGCAAACTATTGTGGACGCATCGCATTCGAAGCAGCAAATCAGCAATTTGTTAGCAACAAATGAGGTGTAAGATGACCGGACGATGTTCAAACCACATTGTGGTCATGCCAATGCAACCCGAGCCGCGCAAGAAGTGGGCGATTGTGCAAGTCCCTCTCCTGATCATGTGTGTCATTCACTTTGATCAATGGCGGTGATTCAATTTTCCCCTGTCTCTCTATAGGCCTTCACGTGTTTTGTATGCATGTGTTGATGAATCTATGCATCTGCACGACTATTGGAACAGGGTAGGCTGTTAAGACTCCACCAAACCCAGTCAAGCTTTATTCGCCTTGTGCTGCACGAAACGACCAAAATACCCGACGAACGACAAGAGGACGCATCTCCGAGATAGCGTTGGTACAAGCGAACGTCATCGACACAGAAAGCGATCCTTACCAAGCTTGTTTTTCGACGGAAAAATCACTCAAGAAGCTGATAAAGTCCCCGATATCAACTCGAGCACGGCAAGAAACAACATCAGTGCCTACAGGCGATAAAGTACCAGTGATCAGCACAAATGCTGTGGAAACTAAAGGGGAAGCTAACTTCCGTAGACAGCAAGGTGGATCCCATTCTCACAGCTGTTGCTGCAGTTGCACCAAAGTGCCCTTGGAATACCGTTCAACGGTCTCTTCATCGCGCTGCAAGATATCGAGTCAGCTTCTTCCCGTTGTTTCCTCCACATTTGCACTGTGTTCGGGCCTTCTCTCCTGTAGTCAATGATGTTTCCTGTGATGCTCACGTTGAGATCTGCGACTTCAGCGGCCGTCGACGAACACAAGCTTGGTAAGGATCGCTTTCTGTGCCGATGACATTTGCTTATAACGCCGCAGTCTCGGAGATGCGTTCTATCGTCGCTGATTTTGGTCGTTTCGTGCAGCACAAGGCTAATAAAACTAGTAAAACTATGATAGG